ACGGAGACAGGGGGGACACAGAGATGGGGATGGGGACAGCAGGGACATCGCCAATACGATGGGCACTCTCAGCCCAACCAGCACCAACACTCTTGGCACAGAAAAAGGATCCGGAATCCTCGTCCTTGAGGTTGTTCATGGTCAGCGTCACCGAGCTCTGCCCGTAGTCCCTGGAGATCCTGAACCAGCCCTTGAACGATGGATTGTAGTAGGTGGTGCCACCAGTGTTGTAGATGCCTGCGACGTATTCCAAACCCTGCCCGGGTCTCTGGCGGATCCAGAACATTCCATAACTCCCAAAATCGAACCGGACCCTCGGCACAGCAACGTCAGGGACCCCCCGGGGGGCTGGAGGTCGCCCCCGCACTCCAGCAGGGTCACGGCCGCCTGGAGCCCTTCGGGACAAAGGGGAGATGGGGATGAGGCCAAAGCTCAACATTGACCCATATCCTGACTCTGGGCCCCAAATTGGGATCCTTGGAGTTCATCATCCTCCCAGCAGTGTTCTACCCCTTTGTCCAGAAGGCCACGCCCACTTAAAAGCCCTAGACCAATCAGACTTTCAATTTCCATCATCACCCTTTTGTCCCGCAGGGCTCCGGGCGGCCGTGACCCTGCTGGAGTGCGGGGGGGACCTCCAGCCCCCCGGGGGGTCCCTGCGCCTCCTCCGCAGAGGGTCCGAGTTCAGTTTTCGACGAACCAGTCTGATGTGGATCCGATAGCAGCCTGGGCAGGGCCTGGAATACATTGCAGGGATTGACTATGATGGAGACACCAGATACTCGCCATCGTTCAGGGGCCGAGTCAGCATCTCCAGGGACAACGGGCAGAGCTCGGTGACGCTGACCATGAACAACCTCAAGGACGAGGATTCCGGATCCTATTTCTGTTCCAAAACTCCTGAGAGTGGTAATGCTGTTGTTGCTGATCGTAGTGACGCTGCTGGTGCTGGTTATGGAGCATTTTTCCCCGTCCCCTTTGTTGCGTCCCTAATTGTTCCCATACCCCAGACCCTCCCCCCAAATCCCAGCCCTCGTCCCTGCTCTCGGTGACTGAATTCGTGTCCCCAGCCCCGGGCCCAGCGCTGACCTTTGGGGCTGAGTTTGGGGGATGATCAACGGCCAAGGGTTGGGGTTTGGGGCCGGAGAGGGGAAAGGGAAATTGAGAAATGCTCACGGGCGGGGTCAGGGGCTCGGAGCTGGGGAAGGGTCTGGGGAACGGGGACAGGTGGGGATGCAGCGATGGGGATGGGGTCAAACAGCATCACCCAAACCAGCACTGACAGCTTTTGTGCAGAAATAGGATCCGGAATCCTCGTCCTTGAGGTTGTTCATGGTCAGCGTCAGCAAGCTCTGCCCATTGTCCCTGGAGATCGTGACCTGGCCCTTGCCCAATGGTTCATAGTGTTTTCTGGAAAGATCGTAGCTGATCTCTGCCACGAACTCCGGCCCCTGCCCGGGTCTCTGGCGGATCCAGTACATGTTCACATTCCCGAAACTGAACGCGGACCCTCGGCAGAGGAGGCGCAGAGACCTCTCGGGGCTGGAGGTCCCCCCCGCACTCCAGCAGGGTCACGGCCGCCCAGAGCCCTGCAGGACAAAGGGGAGATGATTAAAAATGAGAAATATGATTGGTCTAGATGGGGAAAAGGTGCTCCAGAAAAAAGGGGCGGAGCCCACCTGGGAGGGGCAGCAGGAGCAGCAGGGACTGGAGCCGGAGGGAGCTCAAGGCCAAGGCCGGGATGCGCTGGGGATGGGTCCCAGGGGGGTTTGGGGGTTCTTAATGTGGTATTGCGTTTGAAATCAATGTGGAACCCTGAGGAGAAGGTGTCCAATAAATTAATGAGATTGTTTAATTCCAGCTTTTGAGGAACCTCAGGATAACCAAAAAATCTGGTGGAGATTTGGGACCGAACCAGGGGAGTTATGAGTGATATTGGTGAAGATTTGGAGATGGACTCCGGGCGGCCGTGACCCTGCTGGAGTGCGGGGGGGACCTCCACTGACGTTGCTGTGACGAGGGTCCGGGTTCGATTTCGGGAGTTTTGGGATGGGCTGGATGCGCCAGAGACCCGGGCAGGGGCTGGAATTTGTCGCAAAGATCAGTGACAGTGGAGGTTACACCGAGTACGCGCCATCCGTCAAGGGCCGGGTGACAATCTCCAGGGACAACGGGCAGAGCTCGGTGACGCTGACCATGAACAACCTCAAGGACGACGATTCCGCCGTTTATTTCTGTGTCAAACCTCCTGGTGGTGGTGTTTCTGCTACTGCTGATTATATTGACGGTGCTCGTGCTGTCCTCATCTCCTCGTGTCCCCCCCTGTCCCCGTTGCCCAGACCCTTCCCCTAAACACCCCGCCTTCACCCAGCCTTTGGCCATTGATCCCAACTATGCTCTGCCTCCTCCCCAATTCTCACCCACTGACCCCAAACCACAACTCCTGACCCCAAATCTCCTCTTTGTGCCCCAAAACTTGATTCTGAAATTGGATACTTCTGGTCATGGGTTAAGATTTCGGTCAACTTTGTGGTCGAGAGTGGAGAATTTGGGGCAGAGCCAGGACAGGGTTGGGAGATGGGGTCAGAAATGGGTTCAGGGCAGAGTTTGGGAGAAGGGTGTGGGGAACCGGGAGAGGGGGGGACACATCCACGGCGATGGGATCAAAACAATCAGCAGCAGCACCCCAAGTATCATAGGCAGCTTTCCCGCAGAAATAGGATCCGGAACCCCCGTCCTAGAGGTTGTTCATGGTCAGCATCACCGAGCTCTGCCCGTTGTACCTGGAGATCCTGAACCGGCCCTGCACTGATGGCGCATACCAGGCGTGGGCACCGCTAGCGTCGATCAGCGCCAGCCTTTCCAGCACCTGCCCACGCCTCTGGCGGGTCCAGGTGATGGAGTGAGCCCCGAAACTGAACCCGGACCCTCGGCAGAGGAGGCACAGGGACCCCCCAGGGGGCTGGAGGTGCCCCCTGCACTCCAGCAGGGTCACGGCCACCCGGAGCCCATCCCCAAACCATCCCGGTTATTGCCAAACTCCCCTGGTTTGCTCCCAAATCTCTACCAGAGATGTCCTGTATTATAAGTTGCCACAAATCATACAATTCTCCCCTATCCACTTGTTAGTAATTGGAAACCTCCTCCTGATTTTTCTCCACTGATGGTGCAATTAAAAACTCATTAATGACCGCCAAAATCCACCGGGACCCCAACCCCAGCACAACATGGCCACTGCCTCGAGTTCCCTGGAGCTCCTGGCCGTGCAGCTGCTGCTGCCCCTCCCAGGTGGGCCCCGCCCATTTTTCCAAAAGCCACACCCCTTTCCCCTTCTGGAGCAATCATATTTCTCATTTTTAATCATCTCCCCTTTGTCCCGCAGGGCTCCGGGCGGCCGTGACCCTGCTGGAGTGCGGGGGGGAACTCCAGCCCCCCGGGGGCTCCCTGCGCCTCCTCTGCCGAGGGGCCGGGTTCGATTTCAGTGGTTCTGATCTGCACTGGATCCGCCAGAGCCCCGGGCAGGGGCTGCCGTGGGTGGCCGCCATCGACAGCCACGGTGGCACCGACTACCCGCCGTCACTGCGGGGCCGGGTCGCGATCTCCAGGGACAACGGGCAGAGCTCCATGTCCCTGACTGTGAACAACCTCAAGGACGAGGATCCCAGATCCTGTTTCTGCACCAAGGAGTCCAGCACTAACATTGCTGCTGGTGCCCTTGAATTCATTGACCCGTGCCCATCCATGTGTCCCCACCTGTCACCATTGTTCAGGTCCTTCCGTCCGACCCATGACCCCATCCCTGACCCCCACCGACCCAAATCTGGCCCATTTTCCCAAATCTTCAGCATTTGCACCCAGGTTTGGTGACCTTGGCTGAGACTTGTAGCAAGGAGCTGAGGTTTGGGGTCAAGAGCTGAGATTGGGGCAGAGCCAGCTCAGAGCTGGGACATGGGGACAGGACTGGGGTCAGGGGCTGGGGTTTGGGGGAAGGGTCTGGGGAACGGGGACAGGTGGGGGCAAAGAGATGGGGAGGGGGTCAAAAGGATAACCAGCAGCAGCCCAACTACCAGCACAAGCACATTTGGCACAGAAATAGGTGGCGGAATCCTCGTCCTTGAGGTTGTTCATGGTCAGCGTCACCGAGCTCTGCCCGTTGTCCCTGGAGATCGTGAACCGGCCCTTGACCGAATCCGCGTAGCCAGTCCAACCAGCATTGTTGGTGATCCCAGCGACGTGCTCCAGCCCCTGCCCGGGTCTCTGTCGATACCAGCCCATCCCAAAACTGCCGAAACTGAACCCGGACCCTCGGCAGAGAAGGCGCAGGGACCCCCCGGGGGGCTGGAGGTTCCCCCCTGCACTCCAGCAAGGTCACGGCTGCCCGGAGCCCTGCGGGACAAAGGGGAGATGGGGATGAGGCCGAAGCTCAACCCTTAACCCAAATCCTGACTCTGGGCCCCAGATTGTGACCCTTGGAGTTCATCATCCTCCTCCCAGGTGAGTCCCTTCCCTTTTTACATCTGACACTGCCACCCAGTCATGCCCTCAGCCAATCAGGTTTCTCATCCCCATCTCCCCTTTGTCCCGCAGGGCTCTGGGCTGCCGTGACCCTGCTGGAGTGCGGGGGGGAACTCCAGCCCCCCGAGGGGTCCCTGACGTTGCTGTGCCAAGGGTCCGGGTTCAGTTTTGGGGGTCACTCCATGCAATGGATCCGCCAGAGCCCCGGGAAGGGGCTGGAATGGGGCGCAGGGATCCACAGCCCCAGGGGTTACACCTACTACGCGCCGTCGGTCAAGGGCCGGGTCAGGACCTCCAGGGACGACGGGCAGAGCTTCACAGCCCTGACCATGATCGACCTGCAGGACGAGGATTCCTGATCCTATTTCTGTGCCAAAGCCGCTGGGGCGGATGGGGATGACCATGATGCCAATGCTATTAACTCCACCCCTATTTTTGTATCCCCAAATGTCCCCAAACTGCAGACCCTTCCCTAATCCCTGGCCTCATCCCCACTCTCGGTGACTGAATTTGTGTCCACAGCCCAGGGCCCAGCGCTGATCTTTGGCGCAGAGTTTGGGGGAAGATCAACGGCAGAGGGTTGGGGTTTGGGGCCGGAGAGGGGAAAGGGAAATGGAGAAATGGTCATGGGCTGGGTCAGGGGCTGGGAGCTGGGGAAGGGTCTGGGGAACTGGGACAGGGCGGACGCAGTGATGGGGAAGAGGTCAGTACAGCAGGGATCGATATCACCAGCATAACCAGCAAAACCCTTGGCACAGAAATAGGTGGCAGAGTCCTCGTCCTTGAGGTTCTTCATGGTCAGCATCACCGACCTCTGCCCGTTGTCCCTGGAGATCGTGAACCGACCCTTGACCGATGGCGCGTAGGAGATGTAGGAACCATCGCTGTAGATCCCTGCGAGCCACTCCAGCCACTGCCCGGGTCTCTGGCGCACCCAGCTCAATGGGTAACTCCTGAAATCGAACCCGGACCCTCGGCAGAGGAGGCGCAGGGAACCCCTGGGGGGCTGGAGGTCCCCCCCGCACTCCAGCAGGGTCATGGCCACCTGAAGCCCTGCGGGACAAAGGGGAGATGGGGATGAGGAGACGCATTGGTTATGGACCCAAAGTGGGCACCGCCATGCCAGAAAAGGGTGTGGGATCCACCTGGGAGGGCCAGCAGGAGCTGCAGGAGGAGGATGGGGAGGTCCCAGGGTCCCAATTTGGGGCCAACATCAGGGTCTGCAGGCAAGAATAAACATTTGGGTGGATTCGTTCCCTCATCCCCATCTCCCCTTTGTCCCGCAGGGCTCCAGGCGTCCGTGACTCTGCTGGAGTGCGGGGGGGACCTCCAGCCCCCCGGGGGTTCCCTGCGCCTCCTCTGCCGAGGTTCGGGATTCAGTTTCGGGAGTCTTGCCCTACAATGGGCCTGACAGAGACCCGGGCAGGGGCTGGAGTTCGTCGCCTACATCCGCAGTGGTGGCAGCACCTGGTACGCGGATTCGGTCAAGGGCCGGTTCATGATCGCCAGGGACAACGGGCAGAGTCTGATGACGCCGACCATGACCAACCTCAAGGTCGAGGATTCCGCTCTTTATTTCTGTGCCAAAAATTGGGATGATTGTTGTGCTCCTGCTGCTGGTGAGGATATTGATTGTGGTGATGTTGGTCATGGTGGTTTTGGCCCTGCTCCCATTTGGACTCCCCCCTGTCCTCAAACCCAGACCCTTACTCCAAAACCTCAGCCCTTGACACTTGTGACCATCGGCCTGAGAATCCCTCTGGGGCAGCCCAAAATCTGCAACCCTGTCCCCAAACCCAAGGTGCGGGCATTAAATCTTGAGGATTCAGCACAAAAATTGGCAACAAGGGTGAAGGGGTGGGGCCGAGAGTTGGGAGTTTGGGGGAGAATGGGGGAGATTTGGGAAAGAGCCAGTTCAGGGCTGGGACACGGGGACAGGAATGGGGTCAGGGGCTGGGGACTGGGGGAAGGGTCTGGGGAACGGGGACAGGGGGGACATAGCAATGGGTGCAGGGTCAATACAATAGGCACCAGTATAACCAGCACAGCCAGCAGCACCCTTGGCACAGAAATAGGATCCGGAATCCTCGTCCTTGAGGTTGTTCATGGTCAGCGTCACTGAGCTCTGCCCGTTGTCCCTGGAGATCGTGAACCGGCCCTGCACTGATGGCGCGTAGCCGGTGCTACGACCATTGTAGCTGATACTGGCAATGTATTCCAGCCCCTTCTCGGGCCTCTGGCGCATCCATCCCATTGCAACACTCCCAAAACTGAACCCAGACCCTCGGCAGAGGAGGCGCACGGAACCCCGGGGGGCTGGAGGTCCCCCCCGCACTCCAGTAGGGTCACGGCTGCCCGGAGCCCTGCGGGACAAAAGGGAGATGGGGATGGGAAATCTGATTGGCTGCGGACCCGAAGTGAACATGGCCATGCCAGAAAAAGTGTGTGAGACCCATCTGGGAGAGGCAGCAGGAGCAAAACAACCAGGATGGGATGGTCCATGGTTCACAGTTTGGGGCCAAGAGTCAGGATTTGGGTCAATGTTGAGCTTTGGCCCTATCCCCATCTCCCCTTTGTCCCGCAGGGCTCCGGGTGGCCGTGACCCTGCTGGAGTGCGAGGGGGACCTCCAGCCCCCCGGGGCGGCCCTGACTGTGCACTGCTGCACCTCTGGGTTCGATTTTGGGTGTCAGCCCAGGAGCTGGGTCCGTCAGAGACCCAGGCAGGGGCTGGAGTGGCTCGCGGGGATCAGCACTTGTGGCAGCACATGCTATGCGCTATCGGTCAAGGGCCGGGTCACGATCTCCAGGGACAACGGGCAGAGCTCAGTGACCATGAACAACCTCAAGGACGAGGATTCCGGATCCTATTTCTGTGCCAAACGTGCTACTAGTGGTTGTTGTAGTCCTGGTGCTTACAGTGAAGATGACAGTTGTGGATCCACCCCCCTCTCAGTGTCCCCCCCTGCCCCCAATCTGAGACCCGCCCCCCAAACATCAGATCTTCACCCTTTGTTCCCATTTTGCCCCAATGATCAGCACTGACCCCAAACCCTCCTCTGCTCCTGCCCCAAAACTCAACCATTGGCCCCAAACCTTCCCCCCTGGGCTCCAGGTCAGGCCTCCTCCAATCAGGGCCTCGGAAACCTGGAGATATTTGCATGAAATGGGCAAAATTGTGAGAAAGCCGAGAGTTGGGGCAGCAGGGGCCAAGTTTAGGGGAAAATATTGAGTATTTGAAGAGAAAAGTTGGGCTCTGGAGGAAGGATCACTGGGAATGGAGACATCTGGTGACCATCGTGGAGGGCGGGACCACTGCCGGAATTGTCAATAAAAGCAGCAGAACCATAAGTGTAACCACTCTAAGGATGTTTGGCACAGAAATAGGATCCGGAATCCTCGTCCTTGAGGTTGTTCATGGTCAGCGTCACCGAGCTCTGCCCGTTGTCCCTGGAGATCGTGAACCGGTCCTGCACCGACAGCACGTAGTCGGTGCTGCCAGCATTGATGTTGATACTGGCAATTTATTCCAGCGTCTGCCATGGTGTCTGGCGCATCCAGCACATATCAAAACTGCCAAAATCAAACCCAGAGGAGAGGCACAGCAACGTCAGGGACCCCCTGGGGGGCTGGAGGTCCCCCCCGCACTCCAGCAGGGTCACGGACGCCCGGAGCCCTGCGGGACAAAGGGGAGAAAAAAAAACCAACCCAAATTTTAATTCTTGCATGCAGACCCTGATGTTGGCCCCAAATTGGGACCCTTGGACCTCCCCATCCTCCTCCTGCAGCACCTGCTGGCCCTCCCAGGTGGATCCCACACCCTTATTCTGGCATGGCGAGGCCCACTTTGGGTCCAAAAGCAATCCATGCCCTCATCCCCATCTCCCCTCCCATCTGCCAAACATCTGGCTTCAATTTCACAAAATCTGCAATGTTCTGGATGCGCCAGAGACCCTGGCTGGGGCTGGAATACGTCGCGGGGATCAACGGTCATGGTTCCACCGCCAGATACGCGCCATCGGTCAAGGGCCAGTTCAGGATCTCCAGGGACAACGGGCAGAGCTCGGTGACGCTAACCATGAACAACCTCAAGGACGAGGATTCCGGATCCTATTTCTGTGCCAAAAGCGCCTCTGATGGTTGGGGTTGGGAGACTCATGCTGCTGGTTCTAATTTTGGTCCTGTCTCCATCCCCGTTCCCCAGATCCTTCCCTCCTACCCTTGACCCCAGTGTTGACCCCCACAGACCCAAATCGGCCCGTTTTCCCCAAATCTCGACCATTTCCACCCAGGTTTGAGAACCTTGGTTTAGCCTTGGAGCCAAGAGCTGAGGTTTGGTGCCAAGAGCCGAGATTTGGGGCAGAGCCAGCTGAGTTTGGGGCCAATGGTCAGAAGTGAACCCCACTGAGATCTGGGGCACACAGTGTAGGGTTTTGGGGATGAATCTTTGAGAATTATTTCAAATTCTGAAAGCGCCATGGAAATGTGTGAGGTGAGAATATGATTCGGGAGATTGGGGAGAAGGGTCAAGATTTGTGGCCAACACTAAAGATTTGAGGGTCGAATGTGGGGTTTTGGGATGTTTGTGGTCACAGCATCGAGGAGGGGCCACCACTGGCATCTTCATCATAACCAGCAGCAATATTAGGACCACAACCACTGCTGTAACATTTGGCGCAGAAATAGGATCCGGAATCCTCTTCCTTGAGATTGTTCATGGTCAGCGTCACCGAGCTCTGCCCGTTGTCCCTGGAGATCGTGACCCTGCCGTTCACTGAATCCGCGTAGCCGGAGTTGCCACCATCGTTCCTGATCCACGCGAGCCATTCCAAGCCCTGCCTGGGTCTCTGGCGCACCGAGAACATGTCGTAGCTTCCGAAACTGAACCCGGACCCTCGGCAGAGGAGGCGCAGGGACCCCCCGGGGGGCTGGAGGTCCCCCCCGCACTCCAGCAGGGTCACGGCCGCCCGGAGCCCTGTGGGACAAAGGGGAGATGGGGATGAGGTCAAAGCTAAACCCTTGACCAAAACCCTGACTCTGGGCCCGAAACTGGACCCTTTGGACCACCCCATCCTAGTTGTCCTGCTCCGGCTGCCCCTCTAAGGAGGTTCCCGCCCGATTTTCCAGTTTGACACATCCACATTGAGACCCTCAGCCAATCAGGTTTCGCATCCCCATCACTCCTTTGTCCCTCAGGGCTCCGGTCGGCCGTGACCCTGCTGGAGTGCGTGGGGGCCCTCCAGGCCCACGGGGGTTCCCTGCGCCTCCTCTGCCGAGGGTCTGGGTTAAGTTTCGGCAGTTTTGAAATGGAATGGGCTCGACAGAGGCCCGGGCAGGGGCTGGAATGGGTCGCGGGGATCAGGTACGATGGTGCTTACACCGAGTACGTGCCATCGGTCAAGGGCCGGTTAACGATCTCCAGGGACAACGGGCAGAGCTCGGTGACGCTGACCATGAACAACCTCAAGGACGAGGATTCCGCTGTTTATTTCTGTGCCAAACGCACTTATGGTGATAATTGGGCCTTTGCTGATGCTTATCATTTTGTCCCCGACCCCGTGCCCTTGCTCCCATCCTGTCCCCATTCCCCTGGCCCTTCCCACAAACCCCAAGCCCTGACCCTGTTCCTGTCCCCTTGTCCCAACCCTGATAAGACCCAGATATCTGATTTGGGCTGATCCCCGTGCCTTGCAGGCCAATCTCGATAAATCTTGGAGACAGAGTGCCCCAAAACCCAATCAGCTCAGAGATGCCACCTTCTCAGCAAGCTCAGTGATTTCAGCTCTTTAGTGATTCTCAGCTCCCTCAGGATTTCAGCTATTTAGTGATTTCAGCTCTTTCGTGATTATCAACTCTCTCAGGATCTCAGCTCTTTCGTGATTCTCAGCTCTCAGGATCCCAGCTCTTTGCTCATTCGCTGGGGCGCCTTTGGCTGTGGCAGAACCAGACGGACAGGAGAGGTCCTGGTGGTTCCACAGCCATGGTTCATTGAGGGATCTGTGAGGTGTTGAAGTGACAGCTCTTCTCCTGTCAGATGGGCTAAACCAGCCC